GGAGCAAAAAAGTCATTGAAACAATACCTCTAAATGTGACCCTTTGCCAGATATTTGCCTCCAAATGTGGAAACCTAACTGCAGCAGTTTTGGTTGCCATCTTATGGATGTCGTGAATGTAAACAAGTTGTTTTAGGCGTGGTGATTAGTACCTGTAACAAATAATAAATGCAAATCAATTTCTTTTGACCAAAAACAGTTTTTACTTCGAATTGGTACTACATATTCATGTTGGTCGAGCAATGGTGAGCCGTACATATTCACATGTAGCCACATGCTTTGATGTGAGCAATAGCAACCACGTTGGTGCTCATGCGGGGGAGAACTCACACGCCCTCTAAAAAATTTTGAGTACTTGAAAATGGTTGAGTGGGCTACTTGAAGCTGGCATAGTTGCACCAGCTAAATAGTTAAATGCAAATTTAATTGTCTTAACGGAACTTGTGGTGTGTGGCAAGACTTCTGATCGCATGTGGCCAATTTCAGGAGGCCATATCTGGTGAAGGATACATATAGAGGTACGGTTACCTTGACTTTTTGTTCCTATAGGCATGCTGTACAGCTCTGTTAAGATCCCAACAGTGTCATTGATATCTGCAATTGTATCAAGTATAAAATACTAATTCAGATTGTTGACTGTAATGGAAGATTTCAGTTTTGGATTATCTTGTGTTGCAGGCTGCAGCAAATGTAGCTCTGAATGAGGCGGTTGGGACCTTGTCAGAGCTGTAGACCTTGCCCATAGGAGTAAAAATAGTCAAAGAAACCAATGGTTTATGTGTGACTCTTGCCTAGATGTAGTCCTTGAAAGTTTCCTATCTGTAATTTAGAAGAACTGCAAAAATGAGGTACAATTTAAGTGAAAAAATCGAATTATTTCTCAAAACAATGCCAAAAATACATCATTTTTTACTTTACTAGAGATGGTTAAAAGCTCGTAAAACATGAGAAATGCCATCGCACTTGCTACTTCCAAATGAGATTGGAGTTGTGTTCTGTTCCCGTTAAGTCTGTTGTATGTTTAACAAGCAGCCCAGTCAGATATTCAGGGAACTACATTTATATCTTGTCAAGGGTTGCATATAGACAGTTAGTTTCTTTGACTTTTTTTCTTCTTATTTGTAAGGTTTACAGGTCTCACCCACCTCATTTGCAGTTGATTTGTATTGAGCAACTTTTCATATGATATGTCCTCCCCAAAATTTTCTTTCTATGGGCTTAATAATATACAAACTTGATGAAATAAAATTAATATCTTTTTGTGCTGACCGATTCAATTATGAATAAGAATATCCTCAACTGATGCATTTCTGAGAAAAATATTCTTAAAAAATTTGTCTTAATGTTTATTAAGCAATTTATTTTGATTTACTTAATGTGCTCACTGCTGGCGATGACTTAGAGCACTTGCTGTCACAACATTGCATGTGTTGATCCTGCTTGTGAGTGTCCTAAAGTTTTCCATAAATATTTCAGGAATTCTAAGACTATTTTATATAATTTCTTTGACATTTTATAGTTAGAGATGTTGCTCACTGTGTTGGGAGTGAATACATTAAGCAAATAGAATATTTTCTGTGATGAACTTTGAAACATGAAAAATTTTAATCATGTAGATCCAGTAGAAGCATCGAAAAAAGACATGAGAGACAGACACACACTTAAAATTATTTCAAAATTATACTTTATTAAATCAGATGTTTGTTTCAATAGAGAGCAATGTAATTCTGACAATTTATTGTTTGTTTTCTTTGTTATAACCAGTCTTCAGATTAGCATAATTTTAAGTTTTCATTAGATTGTCAGTTATTTTTACTGTTTCGATCCAAGTCAAACAGTATAAACTCACTATTTGTTTATAAAATCACCCTAACTTCTCCAGTATTTCTATTGCCAGTATTACTGCTTCTCTTAGTATTTATGTTTTAGTTGAATTAATCAACACACCTTTAATAGTGAGTGAAGTCAAATGTGGAATGCTTAGGCATGAGCATTCCACTTTTGACCATTACACCCAAAGATGGCTTGTTAACTGGGTCAAAAATGTTAGCATTATTTAAATTTCCCCACCATTAAAGGTGAATTAATTCAGCCAAGTAACCACTGTGTTTAGTTTGTCCTTATGTAGTTTGGTATTTAGTGTAAAAATATTTCAAATGCTTATGTTCTGCTTTCAGGAATTAGCTTCAATGTCACTATTTTCATATAATTTTAAAGGACAGACATGACTCTTGTTTACGGCATCTTAAAGTCTACTAATATGAAGGTTTTTCAGATGGGTGAGGAAAATTTTGATATTTTCAAACATATTGATTATGTTTATTTTAAAATATAAGAATTTATCATAACTACAGTAGAGCATTGATCAACCGAAACATCAATTAACTGAAAGGTTTCCAGTTGGCAAATTTAAATTTCTGATAGTGCTGTGGCACTGTAATCTTTGGCTATGTCTTGGGCTACTCAAATATTTTACGTTTTTGATACTAAATTAACTTCTGAAGTATAATTTTTTATTGTTTTTATATTTTTAAATACATTTATTTTATTTGTACAAAATAAAAAAATAATTTTTAACGATACAATAGTCTTCCTTAAACTTAACATCGAAAAAATTCAACGCGAAGCGCCACGCAAAGGAGAAAAATTTCAACATGAGATAAATTAATATATTTTACCGTACATGATCGGTTATCCGAAACATCGATCTTCCGAACAACCCCAGTCCCCAATTGATTCTGATAATCGACGCTCTACTGTATCTCCATGTGTCCGGCCTGTCCGATCACGGCGCGAATCCATGAATGAAAGCCCAGTGTTCAGGAACAGCTCGGCCACTTTTTATAATTTTAGCTCATATTATCCAATATAAAAACAAATTGTAAAATACAATTACTACAGAGTATGCATATATTTTTTCCAGGATCCTATGTTATTTACCGGTCCCCTTCGAAGAAACATGGATCCTTTTAATGAATATTCTGAAGAAATGCTGTGGAAAGCCATAGAGGAGGTTACACTTAAATTGATATTTTTCAGTTTACTTGCAGATTTTTCTCTTTAAACCTATTTTCGATTAAATTCAATTATAACGTATTTATTTTTATAAATATTTGAATTAAAGGTACAATTGAAAGAAGTTATTAGTAAATTACCTGGAGGATTAGATTCGCATTTAACAGAAGGAGGGCGAAATATCAGCGTGGGAGAAAGACAATTAATTTGTCTTGCCAGAACCATTCTACGCCAGAATAAAATTCTCGTCCTGGACGAAGCAACGTCCAATATTGATAAAAGGTTAGAATATTATAAACGTTACATAATTTCAAGTATATATAATTTTATTTTGTAACTCGTGTTACAGAAAAATAGTTACTGGTATAAGTTTGATATAAGTATGATTGTCAATATTCACGCTGAATACATTGCTATTAAGCCACTAATAAAATGATTGATTTGCATAATAATTAAACTTACAATCTCTGGCGATCTGGAACCAAATTCTAATGAATTATCTCAAATATATTATATGCGATATGTCCAAAGTATATTTTACCTCGTTTCTCATCTTTTTTCATTTTTTCCTATTTTGCATTTGTCATAATGAGGATGAGTAAGGGAGAAAAAAGTCTTTTGTGTCTAAAAGCCAAACTGTATGTATTCACTATATGTATTCATATTATGCCATGCATATGAATACATATAATTATAAAATTTTATTCATATTGTGCTATGTGTGTATAGAAGGTAAAAAATGGAAATAGAAAAATCTTGCATTGTTAACGTGGCAAACATCATGGTGTAAGTAAACATTTTCGCTTCTACTTAATAAATTTATTTTATCTCTAATTTTACTTAAAATTCGATTTATTGCATTGCAAACATTTAAAAATAATTTTTCTACAAAAAGTGGGTTGAATAGTTACGTATGGAAAAGATGGAAGAGATGTAAGAAGAAATTTACTTGCAAAACCAACAAAAATAAGCACGTCTCAGAATGATTAAATTAACTTTTATGCAATAAAAGTTAATTTAATCATTGAATGTTGAATCTGAAAGTCATTGAATGTTGAATCTGAAATTTTATTACATAAAATTAACTTTTATGTAATAAAAGTTAATTTTATTACATAAAAGTTATTTATGTAATAAAATTAACTTTCAACATTCAATGATTAAATTAACTTTTATTGCATAAAAGTTAATTTAATCATTCTGAGACGTGCTTATTTTTGTTGGTTTTGCAAGTAAATTTCTTCTTACATCTCTTCCATCTTTTCCATACGTAACTATTCAACCCACTTTTTGTAGAAAAATTATTTTTAAATGTTTGCAATGCAATAANGTTTTATCCCTTGTTGCATGGCGATCGCCATAAACTTTAATTTAGGTGCTAGGTCAGAAGACACGGCCTTGTTGCAGTAGCGGTTAAGAGTAACAACATGGGGAATAATTTCAGATAAGCATGAGTAGTTTGAGCTAGTAATTTTTGTTATCTTTTCAAATGGCTTTAATAATTTCAGTAATTGGTCTACAATCTCCCACTGCTCTGCAGTCAGATTAGATGTTTGCTGTATCAGTTAGATAGAGGGAAATAGCTCGTTTTCGTTCAAGAAGCCTTTTTAACATATAAAAGATAGAATTCCACCGTGTTGTTATATCTTGTACTAAATTATGCTTTACGTTAGGCTCCTAATTTAAACGATTTTCCAATGGACTTATAGGTATATGATTTGCGAAAGAATGATATTATCATCATATTTGCTTAGACAGAAGTATATCAGGGAGCAATTGTTTCCTCCTGCGAAAGAATAATTTAAATAATACAGCACTTGTATAACATACTGCCATGACGCTCATGTCTGTCCGCTACAACTGTCAAGAATTAACGCGATTGAAGAAGTGTAGTGACAGCGGGCCAATAGAGAACAGGGTGCGCGATCCTTGCCATATAATGCGATTTTGCGCGCCAATTTTCGTACGTGCGTTAATCAAGCCGAATAGTTTGGCCGAATATTCGGCTATTCGGCCACACTCCTGGCCGAATATTCGGTATTCGGCCTGAGGCCGAATATACTATTCGTTACATCACTA